GCTTTTGAACTTGTACATTGTGACTTGTGGGGCCCCTTCTCTGTCACTTCTCATTCTGGTTTCAAATATTTCCTTACTATAGTTGATGATTATAGTAGAGTAACCTGGATATACCCACTTGTTCATAAATCTGACACCAAGAAATTCATCACTCATTTTTACAATATGGTGTCTAACCAGTTCAACAGCAAAATCAAAATTTTAAGATCTGATAATGGCACTGAATTTCTATTGCATGATTTCTACTCTCTTCATGGCATTATACACCAAACTAGTTGTGTAGAAACTCCACAACAAAATGGTAGAGTAGAAAGAAAGCATCAGCATCTCCTTCAAGTAGCTAGAGCTCTTCTATTTCATGCTTCATTACCACTTCATTTTTGGATAGATTGCATTCTGGCTGCAGCACACATCATTAATAGGGCACCATCTTCTGTTTTGGGCAATAAATCTCCATTTGAAATTTTATTTCATAAACAGCCAACATATGATCATCTTAAAGTCATAGGTTGCCTTTGTTATGCATCCACATTACAATCTCATAGACATAAATTCCAACCTAGAGCATCCAAATGCATTTTGCTTGGCTATCCTCTTGGTTGTAAAGGATATAGAGTTTACAACCTGGAAACCAAGCACACAATGATTTCCAGAAATGTTATATTTTATGAAGAAGTATTTCCCTTCAAAAATCACATTGATCCTCAATCCTCTACTCTCTTTCCACCCCCATCTCAGTTCATACATGATACATCTACACCATTTACCCCTACTGAAACCATTCATTCACCTGCTGCAAACACATCAACACCTCCACTACAACCTCAACCAACAATATCTGCTCCACAACAGCCTGGTTCATCACTATCACCATCCCAAAATGATACAGCATCTACCACACCTACTATTCCATTGAGAAAATCCACCAGACCAAAGAAAACCCCTGCTTATCTCAGTGTTTATAAACATACCTTACCTACAACCAATACAACTTCTTCAAATCTTCTTCAATGCAATTCTGGAACATCTCAATACCCCATTTCTGAGCATTTGTCTACTGAAAATCTCTCTAATAGTCATCTGTGTTTCACTGCTGCTATATCCCAACATACAGAGCCTAAGACTTATTCTCAGGCATCTAAAAACCCCTTATGGCAGGAAGCAATGACTAAAGAAATAAAGGCTCTAGAACAGACTAAGACTTGGGAACTCACTACCCTACCTAAAGGCAAACACTGTATAGGTTGTAAGTGGGTTTACAAAGTCAAATTTAAGTCTGATGGAACCTTAGAGAGATATAAGGCTAGATTAGTAGCTAAGGGCTACACTCAAGAGGAGGGCATAGATTACTTTGACACTTTTTCACCAGTAGCAAAGATCACCACTGTCAGATTTCTTATTGCTTTGGCATCAATTAAAAACTGGCATATACATCAATTAGATGTCAACAATGCATTTTTACATGGTGATTTAAATGAAGAAGTGTATATGTCCCCTCCCCCTGGTTATTTAGATAAGAATGATCAAAGAGTTTGCAAATTAACTAAAAGCCTATATGGCTTGAAACAAGCCTCAAGGCAATGGTTTCAGAAACTCACATCTTGCCTCATTGATTTTGGTTTCACTCAATCAGTAGCAGATTGTTCTCTATTTACTATGTCCATTGAATCCAGTTTCATTGCTTTACTGATTTATGTAGATGATGTTATACTCTGTGGCAATGACCTGTCCTTAATTTCCAAAATCAAAACTCATCTTGATAACTGTTTCACTATTAAAGATCTTGGAGTTTTGAAATATATTCTTGGCATAGAGTTTGCTCACTCTGATAAAGGCATAAATATGTGCCAAAGAAAGTATGCCTTGGACATACTCACTGATACAGGTTTTCTGGGGAGCAAACCAGCTTCAACACCTATGGATTCCAACTGTAAGTTCACAGCACACACAACTTCTGACTCTTTAACTGATGCTTCTGAATATAGAAGATTAATTGGTAGACTTCTATATTTAACTATCACAAGACCTGATATTGCTTATAGTGTTCAATGTTTGAGTCAGTTTTTAAGCAAACCAACTACTGTTCATTTAACTGCTGCACATAGAATTCTGAGGTACATCAAAGGCACAGCAGGGCAAGGTATACTCTTTCCTAGATGCTCCTCTCTGAATTTACTTGCCTACAGTGATAGTGATTGGGCTAGTTGTTTGGATAGTAGAAAAAGCATTACAGGTTACTCTGTCTTTCTTGGTCAATCTTTAATATCTTGGAAATCTAAAAAGCAAGTCACTGTAAGTAGAAGTTCAGCTGAAGCTGAATATAGGGCTTTAGCTTCTACTTGCTGTGAATTGCAATGGTTATTATATCTCTTTGCTGACTTTAAGCTTGCTCACACTCAGCCTGCTATTGTGTTTACAGACAGTAAATCTGCAATGGCCATGGCTGCTAACCCAGTGTTCCATGAAAGAACGAAACACATTGAGCTCGATTGCCATTTCATCAGAGAGAAGGTTGCTAATAAAGTCATCCAACTGGAATACATCTCCACAAAGGAACAGCTTGCTGATATCCTAACCAAAGCCCTACCTGGCCCTGCCTTTCATCATCTAGTGTCCAAGCTGAATCTGCACAATATCCATAATGTCCATTTTCAGCTTGCGGGGGGGTGACAATATATATAGCTTTCCCTATTTTACCCTTTTTGTATTTAAGTTGTGTTTTACTTCAACATAAGTTGTCATTGTATTTTAGCAACTTCAGTATTGTAAAGTAGGAGTATAAATAGCCTACTCCACATTGTAACCCTAACACTATTCATTATTTTTCATTCAATCAAAGAGCCGCAGTATTTTCTTTTCTTCTTCATCTTGTTCATCTTGTTCATCTTGTTCAATCTGATCTTGTTGATATGGAATCCTGATATTTCGACTTGTATATACAAGCTTTCGGCGAACACTACTAATGTTTGGAGGTCTAAAGACTCGATGAAATAAATCATAGACCACAATATGCTATATGATCTTTGAAAATAATGCAAGATCTCTCTAATTTTGACATGTTATGAATGGTTTCATATATGTGGGTATTTATAGATGTAGGGAGACACCTCTAAGAGGTTTAAGTGTCAAAAGACACTTTTTGGGACGTGTCCGAATGAAAACGGATGCATCTAGTGACCAAAAGATACCTTATGGTCACCAAAGGTTGCGACCATTTGATTTCCGCAACCAGTTGCACGCCCGTGCGCCGCGGGCTCGTACGAGCTCATACGGACTCGGAATCGAGTTTCGTTTTTTCCTACTTGTCCCCAACGAACTTTTCTACAATTCTAGCATACATAATGCATAATTATGGCTCGTTTAGTTTGTACAAACATTTGTCAAAACAGATTGTTTTACAAATCAAATAATTTGAGTTACTTAAACTCATTGTTTCAACTTTACATTTCCACATATACAACTTATAATTAATTTCTCATTCACCTTAAAATGGTTTTGAGAATTTTCTATGTCTTCTTCTTACAAAAAATAGAACCGTAAAATCGGTACAAAACCAATTTGTGTAAACTTTCTAAGTCTTCCATTTATAAAAAATGGAACCTTAAAATAGGTATAAAACTAATTTTTTTTTACAATCCATACCTACAAAAATAAATTGGAAAAATAAAAATAAAAAATATATATAAATATTATATTATTAGATACTTGATATGTTGTGTTAAATAGAATTGTAAACTTATCTCAAATATTTGATAACAAAATATTTTTTATACCATGTCTCGGGTTACGATACTAGTTATATATAAGGGGAATTGGACACACAATTTTTATGCCACTTCCTCTATGTCTTTTTTTTTTT